ATTATATTTTGGAATCTTAGATATGCTGCGGCCTTATCCATTTCCAAATATACCAAGGAGTTGTCCATTTCTTTACTCACATTTCTTAATTGCTGACCAACCATTTCCAGCTTCTTTTCTGTTTTTTCCGTTCTTTTCTCAACCTCCTTTATTGTTGATTCATTCCTTTCTAGTGCTTGCTGTATTGTTTCAATTTTTTGATCCAGCTTTAGGATGTCTAGTTTCATTTCTGCCTTTAAGTTTCCCATCTCTTCTTTTAGTTCATTTGTGTCAGCTCTTGATTCGATATGATTTTTTACCACTATTTCCTGAAGCTTCAGCATGGACTCTTGTAAAGTAAGAAGGGTCGATTGAATATTGGCATTCGTGATGATAGGTTGTTTTTCTCCAGATAAAGTTTCTTCAGTTGTCTTTTGTGCCATCACTGAGGTTGATGGCATTGAAGTTGTTTGTATTGAAGAAGTCTTCTTTCCAGTTTTAAGCATTGTATTAGTGACGGAGGTCATTTCTTGTAAAATTTGTTTTTGTTTTTGTATTATATTAAATATGTTGTCCCAAATTAACATTCACTATTAAGAAATATCAACTATAAATGGCCACTACACTAAATAATATGATATGTTACAGGATTAACCTCTCTTATCAATATATATATATTTTCCAGAGCACTTTTACAGCTAATTTCTAAATCAAATATCTGGATTTGTAATTCTTAATAATATATCAAATTCCTCTATTTAATTTAAATAATATTAACCTGTATAAATGCTATAGAATCCCAAATCTCAAAATAGTGTTATAAAATAATATTTCAAATACTTACAAATCTAAATATAGATATATAACCTTACTATACAATAATTAATTAGTTAATCTATAATAATCACAATTAATCACAATTAATTATTTAATTCAATCTAATCAATGCCTATAATCAAATATCTATATCTAAATAATTAATTAATTATCACCTCCCTTTTTTATGTGTGTTATAACCAAATATAAACTACAATATTACTAATGTATCAATTAAATATATATAAATTACGTTTACCACATTCAAAAATCAGTTAAGTTGGTGTCAAGAAATAATTGTTGCAATCCGCAAATTTAAAAGCTTAAAGTGTCTTAATATAATTGTTCAGTTCTTCAAGATTCCTTCACCAAGTGCACCGGAAGTACAGAGTTGCTGAGTAATGTCTCTGATTTCACTATCTCACCACACTTTCCACTGTAGTCATTTCTCCTTTCATTTAAAAGTTTAACAAGTCAATTTTTAGATTCAAATAGTCTCTTTCTTTAATAAATCTTCTCCACTTACTACAGCTCCAGTCCAATAATCCAAAAGGAGACTAGTAAATTATTCAGTTTCGTTCGTGGAATATTTAAAGTTGTAATTTAATTCCTTACTTCAAGTCTCCCCCCATCTCAAGTTCGTCCTTCCAATTTTCCCTAAAGTCCACAATTCAAATCCTTCAAAGTTTCCTTAAATTAAATTATTGTACTTTCTTTCTTCTTTTTTTCTTTCCCCCAATTATTATCAGTCTCTCAGATCCCTCCAATTCTCTTATCTTCTCTGTCCGATCGCTTGCATCCTTACCCTCTTCCATCTCACGAGCCCTTTCGCTTTCGCCGCCGCTCATATCTGCTTTGGCCGCTGTTTTTGGGCTTCGCTCTGACTAAGATACTCCAATATTCAATGCTCAATCAGGATCACAAATTCTTTCACTCGCACTCTGCATTCACCACAGTCTGTCACTCACTCACTTCCTCTTGTATGCAACGATCAAGGCTTTAGGACTGCCATTGCTGACAGTCTGTTGTTGTCGGTCTCCACAGGGTTTCTCTACGTCGCGATGAGAATCGCCTTTTCCACACCACGACTTGAGTCTCCCCACACTGGCACACTTCTCTACAAGATGTGTGCACCCCTAAGGATCACTCCAACAGCAAGAGGAGATAGCATGAAACCCAGAGCGAGCTTCAGCACCTCCGTTCGCCCATATCTTCTCACCGGAAGTCCTTGATTTTATATAGGCACTAATAAAACTGAACTATAGATTGTTGACGAGAAAATTTAACATCAGTTGGATTTGACACTCTTGAAAGATTGTAGTTTAAAAGGCTCTGAATATTCAGGAAGGAAAAAGAAAAGAGGAGGTGTGGACGTGTCAGAACAAAGAGTGCCATCTGAGTTAAACATAACTTGTGTTCTTTTAAAAGACTCTGTTTCTTAAAAATACAAGGAAACTTGATACAATTAAACAAGAACTTTGAAAAATTGAAATATGGAAACAAGAAAGAAATACGAAGATTCTGCCCTTGGATTGATTGTGGATTCTGATATGGATTCGGCATTAGATTAGTTGAGGATTAAAATTTGAGAGGAAGAAAATAAAAGTGGACTGTTGGAAATTAACTTTTAAGACACTATTTGGACTAATTAGAAAGCTGTAAAATGGCAATAGCTCTTCAGGCATTAAAAATGGAACTTAGAAATATGAAAGAAACATTAAAGAATGAGGTGAAACTCTGGGCTTTGTTTTTAAATTTTTTGAAGATGCGATTGCGGAGTTTGAACAGCAAAGACAAAGGATAGATGAGGAGGTGGAGCAAACCCTAGAAGGAGCCATCTTTAATTACTATCAAGAACAAAGAAATCTGGAAAGAAAGAGGAAATGAGTTGGAAATAAATATCGGAGATGTGGAAAATTGAATAAAGAGGGGAATATCCAGAAAATTAAAAAAGGAAAGAAACATCAGAAATTTGAAGGGCGGAAGGGAGTTATAAACAGAGAAGGGGTTAAAAACTGGAGTGAAAGAATAAAGGAGAAAATATTAGGGAAAGGAAAGAAAAGGAAACAGGATTTGAGAACCAAGAAATATGGGAATTTTTTTAAAATGGGGGAAATTGTTTAACTAGACATAGAGATAATGGCTGAATGATATTTGGAGAGGGGATTCTGCAAGGTATTGGGGAGTAACATAAATAAATTTGTAGTTGTGAAATGGGGACATATAGATTGATAAGATGGAAAATAGAATTGTTATTTTTTGATAATGCAATGCTCTTTTCATTTATGTATAGAGATAATTGTAACAAATAATGGAATATGTTTATCAAATATATTGAAATACTTTTAGGATTGGAATGCTGATTTTGTTTTATCTTATTTAAATATGAATGGAATAATTAATGGCATACATGTATTAAATATACTGAAATAAATGAAATGTTATAGGAGAGCTGAAATGGAATTAATATCAAGGTCTAGGATGAAATGAGTAGATTAATATGTCCTTATTTTTTTTTGAAATTGTAGATAAACCTTAGGAAATTAAAAAGGGGAAACCATGCAGAATCTGATTTATATATGTTATGTAGTTTTAAATGGGATTATTAATATTAATGTTTTAGATAATGAAATGTCAAACACTTAATGGGATTTAAAAGGGGAGATAATGAATATGTAACTTAGAGGTGGCGCACTTAAACTGATACGTTAGGGGGGAAACCAATTTATAGAAGGAGTGTTAATAATTATGAAGTTAATATATGTGAATTAAAAATGAGATAAGAATTTGGAACAATATAATAAAATAGAAAATGTATAAAAGCATCATTAAGACAAGAAATTGAATATAAAAATAGAATGTGTAACTATGGTCATATTTGTATGTATATGTGAAACTTGTAATCATGCTGTTCTCTAAAAAGAGATGTTAAAATGTGGAAAACTGAATAAAACTTGTTTAAAAAAATATTGGAAGACTGTTATCACGTTTCCCCTGGTCCTTCTCTTCACTAGACTAGTCAAGCCCAGTTCCTGTAACCGTTTGTATGTTTTAGCCTCCAGTCCCTTAATCATCCTGGTTGCTCTTCTCTGTACTTTTTCTAGAGTCTAAACATCTTTTTTATAATGTGGTGACCAAAACTGGATGCAGTACTCTAGGTGTGGTCTTACTAAGGCTTTATAGAGTGGTGTTAGTACCTCACTTGATCTTGACTGTATCCCTCTGTTAATGCAATTTAGGATTGCATTAGCTTTTTTGGCTGCTGCTGCACACTGCTGGCTCATATTTAGCTGGTGGTCCACACTAAGACTCTAAGATCCCTCTCACAGTTACTGCTATTGAGCCTGGTTTCACCCAATCTGTATGTGTATTTTTGGTTTTTGCCTAAGTGTAGGACTTTAGTTTTCTCTACTGATCACATGACCCCAGGACAATGCAACTGTCATAGATACATGCCAATTGCCAAGTGCCCAAATTTGATCACGTGACTGTAGGGATGTTGCAGTGGTCATAAGTATGAAAATTAGTCATAAGTCACTTTTTTCAGTGTTGTAATTTCAAACAGTCACTAAACAAAGAATGTTAAGTCAAGGACTATCTGTATACAATAGAAATTTTGTTTTGATGGGATGTCTAAGAAGGGCAGTAACCATTGTCTACAAATAGAACCGAGTTTCTGCTGCATGGTTGCTGACTCTAGTTGTGTATGAAATTAAAAAAAAATAATCTAAAGGTTAGTCTCCTAGCCACTTAAACTTTTACAACTTTAAATCATTTCTACAACCCAAGTTTATAAACATCTACTTAAAAGCAAAATTCAGATTTTTGCCTTACCAACTAGGAAATTATTAGATTCTGAAAACATTCTGTAAAAACTTGTAAAAATGTAACCTGTAAAAATTTGGAGACTATTGAAATCAGTAGCTGTGTGAAAGCCACTAACTCGTCCTAATCTGAACCATGGTTTACTATACATCAATTGACTTCAGGTTGAGCCTTTCTGACTCTCAAGCCACTTGTCTTCATTTGTCTTAAACTGATGGTACAACCACGAGAAATGTAAGACACTGTGCAGTGCAGCATAATCTAAGGGACAGTGAAACTATAAGTATTGTGTAGGGAGTAGAGGAAAGACAATGCAAGAGAGAGATTCAAGGCTGCAACTTCCTTATAAGTGACTGTGGTTTAAAAGATAAAGCATTTACCTGGATTGTGGCTTTGAGTTTCCTGAACTGCATATGTTTCTTTCACAGTGGCAGAGTCTTGATATTCCTGGGTGTACTGCAAGCATGTGTTGTTAAAGATATTTTTCCATATTTTAATGCATTTTTTATGCACAGGCTCTGGACACGTGCAACTGCCCATCACTGTTTTTTTGAGCAGCTTCCATGCGGCAAAGCATTGCTCTAACACCATTTCTAGGCTGCATTTTGCTACCTCTGCTCTGCACATTCTCTGGAATGTCTTGTATTGTGTAAAACAGGTGTGGTCTTTTCGACAGAGATCCTTGGCAACCGAGCAGTCATTTCCAAGTTGGTTTGAGCGGACCATCCCTGGGGGTTTTATCTGATCCGGAGGTCTGAATTGAATATCTGTGCTGGAGGAAGATTCTAAGTTCCCTGTGAAGAGATAAGAGTTCATTTCAGATTCTTTTCACATATTAATAATAATAATAATAATAATAATAATAATAATAATAATAATAATA